GGCTATAAAGGAACTACAGCACGGTCACATGACTTCACGTCACCACCGCTAAGCTAAAGGAGGCTAATGTTGGCACTTGTTTATTGACTTTCTTTATTACTTTATTAAATAGAACAAAAGACTGACTTTGTCCCCAAACCATCTCTCAGTGTCTCTGAAGAGTTTCCTCCACAGTTATCACTACATGTGTAAAGCTTTGACTGTATCTTTAGTATGAGTAGCAGTGCTTGCTCACAGATGGGGTCACTGGCCCGCGCGGGTTCGGCGGTGATGGTGAACGGGCCGAAGCCCAGTCTGTTCTCGGCGCAGACCCTGAACAGGTAGTCCTGCCCCTCCAGCAGCCCCGGGACCACGAAGGCCTGGCTGGCACAGGCGGTGTTCACCTGGGAGACGAAGCAGACCATCAGTAACTAAACCACAGAGCAGGGACTAAAAGGACTCCTGATTCAACTTGAATACATTAGCATGTTCCTAATACTGACAATGTTTCTACATCTCTTTATATTTCTGCACATTCCAGTCATGGTATTTATTTTGACAACAAATAAACTACATATTTCTCAATAGAAAATAAACGTTTATGAGACTGCAATATTCCCCTGAGACATAGTCCTGTTTTTATGTAGCTAGGTTAGCTTTTTCACATCCTTCCAGCTTGTATTTGTGCTAAGCTAGGCTAATCATATCCTAGTACAACAATTTGCATGTATGATCCAAAATTCTAAAATTCCCAGAGGAGTTGATAATTAAATGTTTATGCTTGAAGTTAACTATAAAGTCACTGTTTTATAAAAAAGAAGGGAAAGTCAAATGAAATGTTAAAACTAAATGGACTGAGTAGCTCACCTTGGTCCAGGCCTTGTCGTTGGTAGACTTCTTCTCGATGAAGTAGCTCTTGATCCTCTCTCCTCCATCGCTGTCGGGCAGTTTCCAGATCAGCCTCATGGTGGACCGGGTGATGTCGGTAACCCTCAGGTCCTTAGGAGCTCCGGGGACGTCTGCAGCGGGAAAACACAGTCAGAGATCCAAGCAACGAAACAAAGACTCCAACACACCGACACTCTAATACTCAGGAAACGGAGACCTACCGAGCACATTGACCCTGACGTTGACGTGTTTCTGTCCAGACTTGTTCTTGGCGGTGATGGTGTAACGTCCAGAGTGTGTCCTCAGACTGACGGGGACGGTCACAATGGATGTGGTGTCTGTTGACTCAACCTGCATACACAAAATGTTTGACATTAGGCGGAAACCCATAAAACACGAGCACACATGACAGGTGTAGCCTGAATAGGAGATTGTGTTGAGGAAGCCTTTGGAGGTCTCACCTCGGAGTCGACAGGCAGCGTGTGCAGTTTGTTCTTCTTGTGGGACTTGGCTTTGCCGGTGAACTCCCAGGTGACCTTGGGAGCAGGGCGGCCCTTAATGGTTGCGGGGATCTTGAATGCATCTCCAGCACGGACGTACAGCAGGTCATCCACCATCATGTCGATGTTGATGGCAGGAATCACTGTGGAATACACACAATAACATCAGTGACGGATAGAGACACACAAAGATAAAGGATGGTAATTATTGGATGGGGAGTTAGGACTTACGCTGGACGTCTTGAACCAGAACCTCGGCGGAGCGGGGGCTGGGGTCGGACTCGCCAATGTCGTTGACAGCAATGACCCTGAAGAAGTAGCGTTTCAGCTCGCGGAGGCTGGGCATGGTGAACTCGGTGGTCGGGACCAGTGAGTCCACGTCATTGACCCTCTGCCATCCGGAGGATCCCTCATCCTGGATCTCGATGATGTAGCCCTTGATGGGACTTCCTCCATCCTTCTCTGGTGGCGTCCAGGCAAGTGTGACACTGTGCTTCGTCTTATCAACGACTTCAGGTGCAGCAGGCATGCTTGGAGGAGCTGGAGAGGAGAGCACCCGTTAGTAAACACAGAATCTTCCAAAATACAGTGGAACCGTTTAGCTCAAGAATACTGAGCTGGTCAAAGGACTTCAATTAGGAACCGAAATTCAGTTTGATATGTCGGATATGTCAAATCAATGTTCTTTTTTACTCACTGATTGGATCGACAGCAAAGGCAGAGTCGGACGGTGTGCTGAATGGTCCAGTTCCTGCAGAATTGCTGGCAGCAACCCTGAACTCGTACTCTGTTCCTTCGATCAGACGAACCACCTGGGGGACGCAGAAAGTTAAAGGGGTTTTATAGACTCATATGGTTAGCAGGACAAAGCATCAACAGATACTCTGTGGACCTGAAACCAACCAGAAATCAGTTCTGAAACAGAACAAAATCATCAGCTCACCTGGTACTCCCAGCCTTTCATGCCCCTCTTGGTGACGGGCATCTTGTTGACTTTGGCCCAGTAGTCAGAGCTTTTCTCTCTTTTCTCCAGCCAGTAGCCGACAATCATGGAGCCACCGGTGTCTCTGGGAGGCTCCCATGAGAGGGTCATTGTAGTCTTGGAGTATTCTGCAATGGTTGGTTTCTCTGGAGGGCCAGGGAGGCCGAATGGGTCGCTGATCATGACTTCCTCTGTTGTGCAGGGGTCAGAAATACCGTAACGATTCTGGGCTTTGACCCGGAACAAGTATGACTTGTTGGTCTCCAGGTTCCACACCTGCAAGTGAAAAAGTTGGTGTTAGACGACTTTGACAACCCTATTATAGCTATTATTAGTAGTAATGTCACTATCAGGACATACCCCAAACTTCCTGTCGATGACGCTGCTGTTAACCTCCACCCACTGGGCCTCAGGTGGTGCTTCCTGTCCCTCTTCCAGCTCTGGTTGATCAGTCATCACGTCTTTCTTCTCAATAATGTAGTTGGTCAGCTCGCTGCCACCATTATCCAGGGGTGCGTCCCAGTGCAAGTAGCAGGACTCGGCCCTGATGTTGGACACTGTTAAATTCCTGGGTGGAACTGGTCGGTCTGAGAGGAGAGCAATATCATGTTAGGACATCCATTATTTTACTTTTCTACCTTAGATAGAGTCTTCATCGGCATGTTTTAACTCACCCAGCACCATGACGGAGATGGTGTGATGGGCTGACCCCATGTTGTTTGAGGCGGTCACAGTGAAGCAGCCGCGGTCCCTCCTGTTGGCTGCTGGGATGGACAGCTTGGTCCTGGCGTTGAGTCTGCCAGTGACCTCTGTCTCTATCACCTGAGCCTCAGTGGATTCAGCGATCAGCACGTCATCCTTGGTCCACTCGATAGTAGGGATGGGGAGACCAATGATATTAGCGGGTATCTCGATGGGCTCGCCCTTCTTCACGATGATGGAGTCTCCCTTGAAGTGCTTCAGCATGTGGACCTCAGGAGGCACTAGACGGAAACAAACCATGTTAACAAAACACTTGTGTGCACCATTAACAATACACCTCAAGAATATATAAGGTAGGGTTGAGGGTTTTAAAGAACCATCATAACATTAAACCTCACCTTCATCGTCTTGGATGACCACATTCAAAGGAATGGATGGCTCGCTCTCTCCCATTAGGTTGGCACACTTGATCCTGAACTCATAAGGCCAATCCTCTTCCAGGCCCTCCACAGTCATGGTCATGCTGGGGCAAATCTCTTTATTGTGGAGAACAAAGGCTGGCTCGTCCTGCCTCTTCTTCTCAATGAAGTAGCCAATGACTGGGCTGCCGCCATCATTACGAGGTGGTTTCCAGGTAAATGTGACTGAGTTCTTGGTGCGCTCGGTGTAGTGGAACTTCTCAGGGTACGAAGGTGGACCTGCAGAACAGACAATGCACAATTAGTTTTAAGAAAGGTTGACACATCTGCTCATATGATCAAATGGGCATTGATTTATAAATCAAACGGTGTTAAAGGTTTGTGATTAACCTTCCCACACATTTTGAAACAGGCAAGTGATTAAGATCTACAAAGGACTATCCTTAAGGTATCTGTTGGACCATTCTTAAAGTCTACAAAGGGCATTCCTAGAGGTTTTTGATGGACGAATCTTGAATTCTGTAAGAAACATTTTTGAAGGTTTGTGATAGACCTTCCAAAGAATATTCAACTGACTATCATTCGGGGTTTTGTTACACCATTCTGAAGTTCTCTAATATACCTTTTTAAAGGTTTGTGATGGACATTCCAAAATGGCTTGAATCAGGCAAGAGCTTAAGGTCTACAAAGGACTATTCTTAGGGTTTGTGTTGGGCCAGTCTTAGGGACGACAAACAACTACTCTCAAGATTTTAATTGGGCCATTTTTAAGTTATCTAAAATACATTTTTAAGGGTTTGGGATGAACCTTCCCAAATGTCTTGAATCCACCAAGAGCCAAACATTCACAAAGGACCATCTTTAGGGTATTGTCGGAGCTTTCTTAAGGTCTACAAAGGGCAGTCGTTAAGGTTTTGGATGGTCCTTTCTTAAGGTCTGAATCAAAGGAGCAAAGGGTCTACAGATTCTGAGAACTCACCCTGTGGGTCAACAGCCTTGATGGGTCCCAGCTCTACGGGCGGTCCCAGGCCGAACTTGTTCTTGGCGATGACGCGGAACATGTACTCCTGTCCCTCCATGATGCCCACGCACTCGCACTTAGACGAGGGGGTTTCAACGGGCTGCCTCCATGTGTGCATCTTGATGTCTCTTCTCTCCACGATGAAGCCAATCAGGTCGCTGCCTCCGTCGTCGTCTGGGTCGTCCCAGTTCAGGAAGATCATCTTGCGAGTGACTACAACGGGCTTCAGGTCGGTGACGGGTCCGGGGACATCTAAAGATAAAACAATATTAGTCTTCTGTGTTCATTTCAAATCCTCAATTAACGAATATAGTCTGTCTTCTTGGAATTCCACTCACCCATGACCTCCACTCTGGTCGAAGCATTCTTGATGCCGCTGGGGTTGCAAGCGGAGATGTGGTATTTGCCGCTGTCCTTCCTCTGGACGTTCTTGATTGAAACGATGCTGTCGTTTCCTTCAGTGAGGATCTCCACGCGGTCTTTGTCGGGTTTGGAGTCTTCGATGGTCCATTCGATGGACGGGTAAGGTTTACCAGTGACTGTAGCAGGTAGACGGAGGTTCTCTCCGGCCCTGATAAACACGCCAGCCTTGATGGCCAGTTCCATTTCAATCACCGGCTTCTCTGCAGGGTTCCTGACAAACACGGACTCTGTGAAACCTGGTGCTCCCTCTCCAGCGGCGTTGCAGGCGATGACCTTGACCTGGTATTTGGCGCCCTCACGGACTCCAAACACAGTCAAGGCCCGGGATTTCCACAGGCGCTCTGTGGACCTGGACCAGTCCTTAGAACCAACCATGGCCTGAAACGCACCACAGAAACAACCAAGTGAGAAACTTTTGTTTACCAAATATGAACGTGCAGGGCAGTCAGTGAAAACATTAGCTGACCTTGTCCACTTGGTATCCCATAATCTCTCCACCGCCGTTATCGGCAGGGGGTCCCACTCCACGTCGATGGAGTGGTCGGTGGTACTTGCCACTCGGCAAGTAGGAGGTCCAGGAGGTACTATAGCGTCAAAGATACAACACAGATGTTACCTCTGAGATCAGCTATATTTACCTGGACAGAAGTATCCTGTTTAAGTTATTCCTCATTTTTTATGTTACTCCTCAAACAATTTATATATAATAATAATAAGTGAAAGAGATTTGTTATAGAAACATTGATTCTGTCCGATCTGAGGGTTTCAGGACAGTTTACTTACGGATGGGAGCCTGGGCTGTCTTGGGTTCGGAGGGCAGGCTGAACTTCCCGGGGCCGGCCTGGTTTTCGGCCGCCACCCTGAAGATGTATGTCATTCCTTCGATGAGACCTTCAACGTTCAGCTCAGTGTCGGCAACGATTTCCCTGAGGACCGGAGGAGAAGGAGCATTAAGAAAGTGATAAATCTATATATTTTAAAATTTCCCCGAAACATAAATTGATGTCTGTACATGTGTGTGCATATAAATCGTAACAAATTTGACATTTTAACAGATCTGCCTCATTGAAATATGTGCATCTCTTTGGTTCCTCACCTGTTGACACGTGCCCAGTGCGAGCTGTTGATCTCGCGGCGCTCCACCCAGTATCCGAGGATGGGGCTGCCATTGTCGTTGGGCGGGGTCCAGATGACCAGCATGCTATGAGCTGTGATGTCATCGATCTCAGGCTTCTCCGGAGTCTCGGGAGGTTCTGGAAAGGACACAAGATTACATAAATAACATCAAGAGAACTGAAAATGACATTTAAAAATACAGTGTCCGATAAAAACCTATTTGTTTTAAATTCTGTTCGGTTTCAGTTGAGTCAAAAGGTATCAAAAAAATAATAATTAAAAATACAATACAATTTATTTTATAATGAACAAAACATTATAGAAAATTAAAAAGGAAATAAATAAAATAATAATCTTTTTGTTTTTATCTCACCAAAGGGGTTCTTGGCGATGAGCGGTTTGGACACGCAGTGCGGCCCCGCTCCGTACTTGTTCTCGGCCACGACCCTGAACAGGTACTCCTTCTTCTCGATGAGTTTGGGCACCAGGTAGCGGCAGCCCCTCAGAGTGGAGGTGACCACGCTCCAGCCGATCTCCAGCTTGGAGTTGTCCTTCTGCTCCAGGGTGTAGTTCAGGATCTCGCTGCCTCCGTCGTCCAGAGGAGCATCCCACTTACACACCACCGAGTTCTTCCTCACCTCCTCGAACCGGAAGTTCACCGAAGGCCCGGGAGTGTCTGCAGAGATAGAGGAACATCAATCAGGGAATCAAGTCAATGTGTCAACACTCAAAGAAAAGCCCTGATATGAATCCATTCATGAGGAACTAACTTCCTGTTTGGCCCATGTCCCTAAAGGAGCTCCGTCCAATGTAATACAGCTCGTCCACACATTTCTAACTCGCTGTACACCTAAACAAGATGAGTCCTCACCGAGCACGTTGACCTCGCAGGTGGCCGAGGCTTTGCCGTGGTCGTTCACCACCTTCACCATGTAGACGCCGTGGTCTGCGCGCACAGAGTCCCTGATGGTGATGGAGGAAACCCCGCGGTGACGGTTATCCACGGACAGACGCTCGTTTATGGTCGGGTAGTCGCTCTCCTCCACCTCCTCCTCCTTCACCTCTTCCTCCTTCTCCTCTCCTTCCTTCTTCTCAGGCTCTCCTTCCTTCTTCTCCTCTCCTTCCTTCTTCTCAGGCTCTCCTTCCTTCTTCTCCTCTCCCTCTTTCTTCTCAGGCTCTCCCTCTTTCGTCTCCTCTCCTTCCTTCTTCACGGCCTCTCCCTCCTTCTTTTCCTCCTTCAAGAGTCAAGGTTCAAAAATGAAATGCTGTTTTGTAGTAATAGATAAATATGGGAGAGGCAAACAGACGAATGCTGTAGGCTGAAACAGAGAGACACGGCGCCATCTTTACTCACCTTCGTCTCCACCTCCTTCTTCTCCACCTCCTTCTTCTCCACCTTCTTCTTCAGTGGTTTGTCGGGTCTCTTGCGCAGCGCTTCGGGTCGGATCACCTGGTTGTTCCTGTACCAGGTGATCTCGGGGTACGGGGATCCCGAGATGTTGGCGTTCAGGCAGATCTCTCCGCCTCGCTTCACACTGAGGCCGGACTGCAGGCTGCCGCTCAGGAACACCTTCGGGGGGTCTGAGGGGGGAAAGTGCAATATTTATATTTATTTATGGTGCAATCCTTACATTTAATTCCTGAAGTTATTGCATTTTTTCCCAGTGCAAAAATCATATTTATTCTATTCAAAAAGAATTAAATGTATTCTGGAAAACGATTGATTTTCGCTTGAGGAGCCTGTGACTTGAACCTGTCTGTAAAGCATCTGTCCTCATGTCTGAATGCAGATGTAGTATTCGTGCTGTTTCTGATTCTGATTTTATGCAAAGCGTTGAGCACTAGCAAAAGCGCTATAAAAATGTAATGTATTGTTTTTATTATCATTATAAGAGACAGTAAACTGCATTTCTAATGACACGTCGTTCTTACCGATGGCGTCTGAGATCTTGACGTGCAGTGACGCTCTGGACGGCTCGCTGACCCCCGCTGGGTTCTCTGCTCGGACCCTGAAGGCGTAGCTCTTGCCCTCCGTCAGCCCCCGCACGGTGTAGGACAGCACGGGCACCAGGAAGTCGTTGCAGCGCCCCCAGGCCTCCTCGCCCTTCAGCTGCTTCTCCAGCACGTAGCCCATGATCTTGGCGCCGCCGTCGTACATCGGGGGCTTCCAGGTCAGCGTGATGGTGCTGGAGGTCGGGTTGTGGGTCTCCACGTCCACCGGGGGGTCCGGGGCGTCTGGACGGAGGGCAGAGTTCAGAGTTAGAATTACCCATTTAAGATTGCCTTGGTACATTTACAAAACAATAACTAGAGTGATAATTCATAGCTTCCCTAAAACCTGGAGGGAGCACAGATACAACTACCCCTCTGTTCCATGACCTATATTCATGTTGCTCTGCTGGAGGAGCCTGGGGCTTCAGTTTTTCATTGTTCAAGCTGCTGTGCAAATTATAAGAAAGCCTTGAAACTTGAAAAGTGGTGCATTTACTAGAAAATAACTGCAGTGATACATTCACAGGTTTCAAGATTTCAAGATCCCAACTTTCATTTTGAGGTTTTTCAAAAGTCATTGTTCTGTATTTATTTGTTGTATCCTGCACTGGCTGTTGTACTGAAGTGCCCCTTTATATAATAAAGAACGGTAAAGGTATTTTCTCTCACGTTTCTGATCCTCAGCGATGACGGGGTTGCGCAGCTCGATGAACTCTCCGCCCCCGATCTTGTTGACGGCCTGAACCCGGAAGTAGTATTCTCCGTTGGGGATCAGGTCTTTGACGTTCCAGCACACCTTGTTCTCTCCGGACATCATGTTCACGTACGTCCTGCGGCCGGCCTCACGCCTCTGCACACACACACAATACCACGTATTAACACCACTTTAAGACTATAAAGGAACTACAGCACGGTCACATGACTTCACTTCACCACTGCTAAGCTAAAGGAGGCTAATGTTGGGCTATAAAGGAACTACAGCACGGTCACATGACTTCACTGCTATAAAGGAACTACAGCACGGTCACATGACTTCACGTCACCACCGCTAAGCTAAAGGAGGCTAATGTTGGGCTATAAAGGAACTACAGCACGGTCACATGACTTCACGTCACCACCGCTAAGCTAAAGGAGGCTAATGTTGGGCTATAAAGGAACTACAGCACGGTCACATGACTTCACGTCACCACCGCTAAGGTA